TGATTGATTGATCGATTGACCGTCTGACTGCCGGTTGCCGGGGCAGTTGTGGGGGCGTTGGAGAGAGAGAGAGAGAGAGAGACAGAGAGAGAGAGAGACAGAGAGAGACAGAGAGAGACAGAGAGAGACAGAGACAGAGACAGACAGAGAGACACAGAGAGAGAGAGAGAGAGAGAGAGAGAGAGAGAGAGAGAGAGAGAGAGAGAGAGAGAGAGAGAGAGAGAGACGTTTCACTTCCCATCACGAGGACCCAGAAATCTCTTGCTGGCATGAGGCCCCTACAACCACCTGCTGACAGTTATAGACAGAAACTACAGCAAAGGAAAATAACCGCCAGAGACTTGTGTCCGTTCTCTAAAACTGCACCCGTGGGAAAAAAAAGGAAAAAAAAAACGGTGCTCGTATGTACCCTCAAAACGGGTGCAGATGCACTGAAACAAACAAAATAACCACTAGAGACATAACTCCAAGCGAAAGAGCTGGCGCCTATTGAAACAGGCGCCTTTATCATTTTTTTCTGGAGACGGCCTGTCTCCAACAACGAGGCAGGCACCTGTTTCAACAGGCGCCAGCTTTATTTTCCTTTCCCTGCCCGCCATCTGGCTGGCTATGTTTTCGTTTTTGAAAGGGTGATCGTTTACGGGTCGATATAGGTAGGTCATAGAGCCTCCACCGTCAAAAAACAACCGCCCTCTCCTCTTCTCCATGCAGACCAGCGGCTAGGATTTAGTATTTAGACTCTGCAGTTTAACAATTGTATTAACATATTAAGGAACGTGCAGCATTGCGACTATGGAGTTAGGGTTTAAGGTGTAGATGTGAGCCTCCAAACCTCTGTTAAAACTGAGTAGAAGTCAGGGTTTGTCCCTCGGGACATCCGTCAAAACTGCAACAATAGAGAGAAGATTAGCATCGCACCTGGGCAAGGATGACATGCATACATCAAGAATTTGTAACTATAGAGTTTGGGGTTTCTGGTTCAGATGTGAGCCTCCACACCTCTGTTAGTAGTAGAAGTCAGTCTTCGTCCCTCATGACAACCATTGAAATTGGAACAATACAGAGAGAGAAGGTTAGCATGGGCCCTGTGCAACGATGAGATGCATAAATCAAGAAATGATCAGTTTCCAAGGCATGGCTTAGGAGCAGGGCCTAGGGGGGAAAAAAAAATGAAAAATAAAAGGAGCAGGGCCTAGAAGATAGGGCTTAGGGTTTACAGATTATGGTTCAGGGTTTAGGGTTTAGGGTTTAGGGTTTATCTTGTAGGGTTCACGGTTTACATTCCAGGGTGCACAGTTTACCCCCTTTGCAGTTTCGTGGTCTTGCAGTTATGGGTGGGTATACAGGGTTGCAGTTTCAGTTTTTTTTTTTTTTTTTTTTAAACAGCCCGTCGGTGTTAGCGGTGCTGGTAAGAGCAGACACCGGTAGCACCTGGGGGGGCTCCATCTATTGGTGGGAAGCAGCACCTGCTGGAAACCGGGTCCAGCGTCCCTTACATATACCAGGACCAGCTCACATATTTGACAGTGTGCTCCTGCCAGCATTGAGTACCCTGAGAGATCAGGGGATTGACTGAGCAGGAGGTCGGGCAGGGGCCTCTTCACCCTACCTTTGGCGCCAGATACCTACACTTTCCTCCTGGCCCCCCCACCTCCAGTTCTGAAAAGGTTTCCTGGGGCTGAGTTCCGTATGATTTGGGGGTTGAGAAGGTGCAATTTTGGGCAGATAATCAGTTTCATCACGATTATTATCCTGGTATGCCGCCGCTGCGGTCAAGAGGGTCATGCACACTGATGGTTAGAGCCTAAGAGGTCATTTCTTCCTGTGGGGAATCCAACCAGGGCTTTTCAGTGAAATACTCCAAGCGGAGGATCGTAAGCTAAGCTGGGTAAGGCTCCCACGATAACCCCAGGTGGATTTTTTTTTTTTTTTAGGTCCCCGGCCTCCTATTTGCCTTCGGAATAAAAATATTTTTTCTTAACAAAAAAAAAAACAAAAAAAACAACAACAACAACAACAACAACAACAACAACAACAGGTTGTACAACCGAGCTGAACCTTGTTCTTCTGCAAGAGCTCATGGATGTACTCGTTTGCAATCTGGCGCTCCACTTCAAGGAACTGTATAATCTCCTCTTTCTGTTGGATGCTTAGCGCATACTCTTTCTCCAATGTGCAGCACTTCGTCGTCATCCTGGATATTAACAGGAGCCAAGCAACATCATATTATAGTCAGAAGGACTGCATGCACTCTCAGGGATGTACTTACCCTCTCACCGAAATAGACATGCTTCTGCGCAAAGGGCACAGACACACTGTTCTGCTTACACCTACAGGTGCAGGGCCAATCCATCTCAGGCATGTACACACACACACACACACACACACACACACACACACACACACACACACACACACACACNACACACACACACACACACACACACACACACACACACACACACACACACACACATGCACACACGTGCACACAGAGGCATGCATGATCCACGTAGCCCCAAGCACATGCGCCTGCACATGAATAATGGACTGATGGTTTACTGATTCAAGAGCCCGCGAGTAGGAACGAGAGCACATGGAGGCTCAGCACAAGTGCAGGCAAAGGTGGAGGGAGAGCACAAGGGAAACGCCACAAACATACAATAAAATGTACGAAACGAACACAGAGTGATACGGGAGGTGCTGAAGAACTTCAGCAAAGGTCGCAAGTCGAATGAGAACTTCGGTTTGCACACACAAGTAGATGTGCTAAGATGACACGGCAGTAGAGGAACTATCGCACTGTAATCAATTGTGAACATCAGCTTAAACCACCAGTTTGGGCGAGCCTACATTGTACTTTTTTTTATGGACACAGGACGGGGAAAGAAAAAGCCCCGGCCTACTGGACCGAAATCGGGGGTTACCTGGGGGGGGTGTACAAAATCCCGAGTACCCCTACTTTCACGATTTTTAACACTAATTTCCCGCACATAGATTTATGAAAAGGTCAGGGAAGCTTAATCCGCATCAGGTGAAAAATAAATAAATAAAACATAAACAAAAACGTTTTGGTCAATGTGTATTTCAACCAACATCGGTGTGACCTGGAAGTAATGACGTTTCAGCCTGCGCAGGCTCGGTCGCCAGGCTTGTCCGAAGTGGGTAGTTTACGCCATTCTGCTGAAATCCGTTGCCTTCCTTAAACCAGCAGTCCGTTCACACGAATCTAAGTAGTGCTCTTCCCCGTTTACTCAGTAGCACATTGCCATTTCGGCCTGGGCGGAGAATGCAAGCCGCAGGCCACCTTGAAACGGAGCAGTTGCAGGCTCGCTAGTTTTGGAAGGCAGCTTCGTAGAGTTCAGCTCATGTAAATCGGTAGTTTAATTGACTCCAACAAAAATTACAGCAGGTGTATTCTGCCACCTTCCTTCGCATTTTGTTCGTTGCCAGCATTGGTTGCTGTCATGGTGTTTAAACCACCAGTACTTGGCTCATACATCGGCCGCGGGGCGTTGTTGTTAATGGCCCGCAACTTTCGCGGCCTCTGGGCCAACGATAAATCGCATCAACGGCCCAGAGTGCGACGCCGGCCTCCGAATCGCATCAACGGCCCAGAGTGCGACGCCGGCCTCCGAGAGTCGCAGGCCCAATGTATGGGCCAAGTACTGGTGGTTTAACTCTTCATCTTCCCACTTATTAAACCACCAGTACTTAGGTGGCCTATCCTGTCAGGACAACCATTGGCTGCCGTTTACTAGCAATCACCGCGGGTCTGGTCCTTGGCCTCTACAACACCCCGGGCTTAAAAAAAAAAAAAAAAAAAAAAAAGGCTTGATAGCCTACTCTTCCCAACACGTTAGCTGGAAGTCGAAATAAAATTCCGAGCTCCTTGGGCCTCGTCCAAACACCTGAGCACAATCCATAAAACTGGGCCCTAAGTACTGGGCATAACCGAAATTTGGGCAGACCCAGGAGGGCATCCCACGTAACTCAGCTTCCGACCGTCATCAACCCTCGGCATAATCTACACACAGTTTTTATCCATGAAATCAACTGGCCCTTCCTGCTTCACTGGTCATCGCTTCCACACGCTGTTTTCCATCCACATGCCTTCTACCTATTTTTGTTCCCAACCTCAATCTCCTTCATCTCTCCTCCTTTCCCAAGATCAACCTCCTCCTCTTCCCTCTTCCATCTTCTTCTTCCTCTTCTTCTTCCTCTTCTTCTTCTTCTTCTTCTTCTTCTTCTTCTTCTTCTTCTTCTTCGTCTTCTTCTTCTTCGTCTTCCTCTTTCTTCTTCTTCTTGGCCTCTTTTTTCAATGCCACAGCATGACTGTTATCAGATCGTCACCACGACTAACACAAATCGCCATTGTCCTTCCCATCAGCTACCACCCAATTACAATCACCCTTTACATCGTCATTACCATTGTCGCCGTCATTACAGCACCATCATCATGGCAATGAAAGCTTCATCGGCAGCAGCATCACCATCATCGCCACCGTAATCATTGCCACCTTCGCTTTCGTCGTTATCGTCAGAAATCACATCGAACCCGTTTGTCATTGGTCGAGCTTCCACCAGCCTAATAAAAAGAAACAGACCGAGGGAGAGACAGAGAGAGAGAGAGAGAGCACACGAGAGAGCGAGAGCGAGAGCGAGAGAGAGAGAGAGAGAGAGAGAGAGAGAGAGAGAGAGAGAGAGAGAGAGAGAGAGAGAGAGCAACAGCTACTTACACTCGTGGGTTCTTAACAAGCAGGACCACGCCATTAACCACCTAGTGAGAATAAATAGCAGTCTTCGTGACTAAAAGGCACACCCTCAACCTCGTCGTGCGCCTAGATCACCCACTTTTGCTCTTTCCTCGAATGGAGATTTTCTCCTTTTCCCTGGGGGGCAAATATTATAAGTAATCTAGAGGTGAATTCTTTTTTCTTTTTGTATAATAATCATCTGTTAGAGATCATCTGTAGATTTTCTCTCTTTTTGTATAATAATCATCTTTTTTCTTTTTGTATAATAATCATTCTTTTGCTCCTAATTCTCCTGTATTTGTGGAGGTGATAAGAGCTCCCTCCACGTCTGTAGGGACCGTTAACGATCGTATATTTTCTTTGATTCTTCATCTCGCTACGGGACAAATACAGATGGGAGTTGGCAGCAGTAATCACTTCATGATTGATTACCCTCGGGTGAGCCATCTGAAAAATAGAGAAAACGATGACACTAGGACCGGTGGTAATCACGTCTAGTGTGCGCATAGAGAAAACGTTGTGTGCCCAGATACAACTTCAATCAGACGTCAAATACGTAAGTGACCGCATACTCACACCAGGACCTTTTCTAGCCAGTTCTAGACGTGATTACGGTCAGATGCATCGAGGTCTGGCCGTAATGGCAGACCAGTAGAACGAGCAAACATACACCCGCCACAATTTTGTCGTTTTCACATTTGGGCAGTGGAGCGTTGAACCCTACAGGGGCATTTATCATACAGTGGTGCGTGCGTTTTTGTATATGATACAAAACGACGACTAAGGGCATATAATCACCCCTTATTGCCACCTGTTCCATCCAGGTAAGCCCCTTCCAAGACATTGGAAGGGAAACATGGGGACAAACGCTAGCGAGGCAACGTGTGCAATCTCTACTCTCTCCTACCCCTCCTCCCCCTCCTCCCCCTCGCCGAACCCCCGCCCTCCTGTGGAGTATGGGCCCATAGAGTGCGAAAGGCAAGATCCAAACACGTTTACGATATATATTGTCACACACTGTGATATATATATTGTCATAGATATTGTCACACACTGTGATATATATATTGTCATAGATATTGTCACACACTGTGAATCGGAACGCAAAGGCGGAAAAAAACAAAACAAGAAAAGGAAAAGAAGGAAGGGAAGGAAAGCCTCAACTGTTCATCACCTCTTACGTACAAGGCCAGCCACGTGGATGACAGGTTGACCGCTGGCTGGCCCCATCCCCGTGTGTGTCACAAGGACCCACTTGCACGCAGCCAAAAGGCAAAAAAGAGGTAAAGAAAAGGAGGAGGAGGAAACCAGACCTCACAGAGGCAAGAGAAAGAGAAAAGGATCCAATCAAAGAAAAGACAAAGGAAGAGGAAGGCCTATACATACATATAAATATACGTATAATATATATAGTCAAACAGAGCTGCCTACGGTAAGCCGTAGGCAGAGAGGGAGGGAGAAGGAGAAGAGGACAAGACAAGAAACGAGGGACTGTGACAAACTGTTTCGTCAGAGTTTCACCGACTCATCATACATATATGACAATATATATATATATATATATCGTCACAAACAGAACTGCCCGGTAAACCGTAGGCAGAGAGAGAGAAGAGGACAACAAACGAGGGGCTGTGACAAACTGTTTCGTCAGAGTTTCACCGACTCATCATACATATATGACAATATATATATATATATATATCGTCACAAACAGAACTGCCCGGTAAACCGTAGGCAGAGAGAGAGAAGAGGACAACAAACGAGGGGCTGTGACAAACTGTTTCGTCGGAGTTTCACCGACTCATCAGGAGGCTGAACCCTCAACAGTCTGCAGAATCCCCTCACTGATTACACTGTAAATGATAATCTACCTTATATTCCTCTCCTCCCTCTCTGCCTACGGTTTACCGGGCAGCTCTATTCGACGCAACAGTAGCCCTGTCTCTTATACACATCTAGATGTGTATAAGAGACAGGATCAGGAGGCTGAACCCTCAACAGTCTGCAGAATCCCCTCACTGATTACACTGTAAATGATAATCTACCTTAACCAAAATCAAAGTAGACTATATATATATATATATATATCGTCACAAACAGAACTGCCCGGTAAACCGTAGGCAGAGAGAGAGAAGAGGACAACAAACGAGGGGCTGTGACAAACTGTTTCGTCGGAGTTTCACCGACTCATCAGGAGGCTGAACCCTCAACAGTCTGCAGAATCCCCTCACTGATTACACTGTAAATGATAATCTACCTTAACCAAAATCAAAGTAGACTATATATATATCGTCATATATCGTCACAAACAGAACTGCCCGGTAAACCGTAGGCAGAGAGAGAGAAGAGGACAACAAACGAGGGGCTGTGACAAACTGTAAACATAACTGCCCGGTAAAATATATATATCGGACAATATATATATATATATATATCGTCACAAACAGAACTGCCCGGTAAACCGTAGGCAGAGAGAGAGAAGAGGACAACAAACGAGGGGCTGTGACAAACTGTTTCGTCGGAGTTTCACCGACTCATCAGGAGGCTGAACCCTCAACAGTCTGCAGAATCCCCTCACTGATTACACTGTAAATGATAATCTACCTTAACCAAAATCAAAGTAGACTATATATATATATATATATATCGTCACAAACAGAACTGCCCGGTAAACCGTAGGCAGAGAGAGAGAAGAGGACAACAAACGAGGGGCTGTGACAAACTGTTTCGTCGGAGTTTCACCGACTCATCAGGAGGCTGAACCCTCAACAGTCTGCAGAATCCCCTCACTGATTACACTGTAAATGATAATCTACCTTATATCTCCTCTCCTCCCTCTCTGCCTACGGTTTACCGGGCAGCTCTATTCGACGATATATATATCGTCACATGAATATCAGAGCGCAAAGGCGAAAAAAAACAGAAGAAAACAAGAAAAAAATAATTCGTTTTTTTATCTTCTTTCTTACAAGTGTATATATGGATATTTCTCGATTTTTGCGCGTCATACTTGCACAGGGCACACGCTAATCTTCTCTGGAATTTTCTATTCATTTTCGTATGGGCCAAAAAATTTTAACGGATAGGATGTCCAAGAAGGACAAACATGTTCGGGTCTGGATTTTATTTTATTTTTTCAAACGGATCTGGATTTTTACTTCCTCTTTTTTTCGCTTTAATGATTCGATTTCATCATATATTTCCATCAGGATTCGAACTCAGGTCTGTCTGCCCAGATTTCAAATCACCTTTCAAAAAAAAAAACAAAAAAAAACTCGTTGGTTTGTGCGGCTTTGCTGGGCTCAGGCTTCTCTTTTTTTCCCCCAGGGTTGGGTGTTATCAAAGGCAGCAGTCTTTGTGTTGGCCATTTCTGTCGCTGGAATTATCCCAAAACCTGCACCGGGGCTGTGCAATGGTCCAAGTACATTGGTTACTCTTCCTGGTTGTTTTGTGGAAGGATTACCAGCCTCCTTTTTATGTGTGGGAAAAAAATGAGCTGAGTCTCCGTTGTAATAATATAAAAGTAAAAAAAAAAAAAAAACAGAATTCAAATCGCCGTCTCCTCCCGCTAGGTGACCGTTGGATTGGATTCAACGGCGGCTATAAATCATAACCGCTACCGACATCTTGGCCCGAACACAACGCCCCCTCATTATGATGTACCATTCTGGAAAGATAGCTTGTATACGTTCATCATCACGGTGAGTTATGTGTGTGTGTGTGTCTCGGGGGGCGGGAAGAGGGGGGGGGAAGGGAGGTCGAGACGGTAGTTTATTATCTCTTCCCTGCTTCTCAGTTGATCCCTTTCTTTAGGAGTTTGGGGAATCTTTTTAAATAATATAAAATAGAAAAAATATTATTTTTCATTATGTTTTCGAGGGAGATTCTACCTGCCAAGAACTTCTCATAGCCTCCCCCTCTCCTCCACCTCCACGACCATTGAACGATCTACTGGGTTTCCCTTTTTTTTTTTTTTTTTTTGGTAAAGGCTTGCTTTATTCTGGGTTTTCCTTTCGCTTTCTCTTTCTTTCTTCTTTTTCAAAACCTTCATTCACGACGCCACAAGCGTAAAAACAAAAAAAACAAAAACAAAAACAAAAACAAAAAAAAGGAATCGGGGAAACCTCTTTCCTTTTCCGTTCTTTTCTCTTTTCCTTTCTTCGTTTCTTTATTTATGTTCTTTTTTCTTTTTTTTCTTTTTTTTTCTTTTTATATCTTTTTCTTCCCGCCTGGGTTTTCTTTTCTTTGGTTCGGATCTACTTCGTCAATCGTTCCTCACGGCCACCCTTCATTCATTACCGTCGGCCTTTCTACTCCATGACCGTTGAATATCAACGGCTTTTTGTTTTTTGAAAATACAAAATCAATCAAGACAATTCATTACCGTTGGCCTTTCTACTCCTTCATGACCGTTGAACATCAACGGCTTTTTTTTTTTTGAAAATACAAAATCAATCAAGACAATTTGGTAGGACAACTACTACCGTCTTTTTTTTTCAAATTTACTTACTTAAAACGTCAATCATTGCAGTAATCAACTGTAATCTACTGTGATCTACTGTTATCTACTGTTATCTACTGTTATCAGTTTCATGCTCGTCTCCGTCCGCATTCCTTATTCCCCGCAATACATATTACGCTGATCACACATCGTCGCCACGTGGCGGCTGATGACTTTGCTGACTTGGCAAAAAAGGAGTGACCGCTACAGTATACGGGGAAAGCAGAAGGATCGGAATAACAAAAAGCGCTTTCGGATTGTCCTTTTTCTTTCAATAACCCAGTGATACTCGTGCCAAGGTGGAGGCCGGATGAGTGAGGAGGGGAAAGAATAAAAGAGAGAGAGAGAGAGAGGGAGGGAGAGAGAGAGAGAGAGACAGAGAGGGCGGGAGAGAGAGAGAGAGAGAGAGGCGAAAAGAGAGTGGAGCGGAATTCACTTCTATGACATCTTCTTGTCCTTGCCGTAAACACAGAAAAA